AATGACAGAAAAGACTCTTTCCCAATATAAAATAAGCTATTAGTCATTAGTATTATCTTAGCTGGACCAAGATCTTTACCCGGTGCAGACAGGAAGCAGTTCTTGTACAGCCTCAAATTGTGGGTCCTTTACCTGTTGGCTGGGTGGCAGGATGGCTTCTGGTCTGGACTGCACACAACTTGCTGACAAATCCATTTAGTTTTTGTACTGTTTCTTCAAAGTGTTTTTCTTGATGGTTGGTAAATTCCTCCCTGTTTTGTTCGGACATGAAAAGGTTGATCATCATATCGTAACTGTTAATTGCCTGGCTCCTGTTCTTAATTGTCTAGGTGTAAAGAGTGTGTTTCTGCAGCTTCTGCAATTATAGCTCAATCACAGATGATGGGCCTTGAGTGTCAGACAGGATACTTAGAGGTGTCACCAAACTTGTTTTTGGGTATTTGTTTATCAATGGGGTCCATTTGCAGTATCTCATAACTTTTTAGACATGCACTGAATGGTTCAGACATTTTTCATACCTTAGAGTGATATTGGATACCTATTTTGAGAAATGTGAGGATGTCAGACGCAGAACATTCTCCCTATAGTCAGTGCTCCTTTTACAGATTTCTTTTGAGGTGGATATTTAGTCGTGTTTTCTTTAGCTGCGAGGTCAATTGAAATGTATATGCAGTTTCCTTGCCTTCACTGGCCCAGCCTTTCTTTAAAGGGCTTTCTTAGGTACATATATGTGATGTGTGCATCAGGACTCTGCCAACAATTTTAACCACTTTTATTATTTTATGGCATGGGTCTGGTACTGGGTACCGCAAGCACTCCACTGTCTCAATGCCTAATGGCTTGCAAGCCATTAGCGGAGTTTGATTTTTTTTCTTGTGGCAGTCTTGTCACCACAACCCAGTCTTGCCTCAGCCACTGTCCTGCATTTTTATGCAAGAGACACCGTCCAAGCTTTCACAGTTGTCATATGTAGCACTATTTGTATAATGTCAGTTATTTTTCAATCAATACAATTACAAATGCCTTTGGCAGTCAAGCAGAGATTGAAGTATTATTGAATAAATGACTAAATTATTTTTGCCTGACTTTCATATTAGGGTAAGGGGCAGGGTAGGTTCAGAGAAAAACCAAAAACAGCCTTAGCTTATCATAAGTCATGTACATTTTTTAGAGAAAATGCCAACTTTTCCATCTGATAGATTTGAATAGGAAATTATTCCCTTTCTTTAGGTTTTTATGCTGGTTCATAAAGTTCATAGAAATATTAGAAAATTCCAGCTTTATTATACGCTTATGAACCATTCTAGGGAATGCTCCATTAAAATATATGTTCTTTCTTCAGAATTATCAGGTGGGCCAATAGCATATAGCAAAGTTAGCACTTTGTGAAATTTTAGTCATTACCAGGTTTGAGACCTGAATTTCACTGTTGTGATTGATAGACCATGCATGGGCTCCTCTAGCTAGAAGTCTATGCCTGGCTGCATGGGCCAAATCTACCAAATGTACGGCTACTTGGCACTCAGAAGAAATTAGCTCAAGGTTTTTAGTACAATTTCTCCAGAATCCTTGTGGATTATAATTAACCTCATTAATTATATACATCACTTTACCTTAGGGGTCAGAAAGAAACCTCAAAACTAACGGGTCATATCATTGGAAAAACAGCACAATAGAACCCAAATACTTCTCAGGTTAAGTTTCTTACCCCCCTGCAAAGATGAGGGTTTATGAAGTATCCAGGAGTACACAGCGCCACAGCAAATAGCTGTGTTGGGTTGCTGCAGTGCTCCAGCTGCTTGCCATGACTTTTTTTTCACAGGATACTGTTTCTTGATTCAGCTGTGTGGGACTGCTGATAAACCCCAGTTGATAGGAGAAGTAGTGCCCTTTATAGTAAAAGCAGCAGAGCAGCTCATTTATCATTTGGTAAACTTTCTGCAAATTTGGCAGATTGCAAGCTACTTGGATACAAATGACCTGGGCTTTACTGTAATTCATTTTTTCGCCCAGTACTTTTTAATGTGTTTTGTTGCCTTATGACTATGTACACAGTTACCATATTTACCTGATTCCAAGAAGACCTTGAATTTAAGATGGCCCCATAAAATTAGATTCTATAAATAAAAAAATATACATTTCTTATAATTTCCCATGTAAATAATCTAGTTATTGGAGGGGGTAGGCAGCCTGATCCCAGACCCTTTCCCCCTTTCACCTTGCCACCATGCCACTTCCTCCCTGCTCCAGTGCCTGCCTCCGCCCTCTTAACCTTGTTCTCCAGAAGTGCTTTCCCCAGTGTCTGTCCCCCCACACATACACGTTACCCCCTGGCCTGCCCTCTGCCACTTACCCCACCCTGCCACCTGCAACCCCCCACTGCCACATGTTGTGATCCCTGGTGGCTCTAGGCCAGGTCCCTCATTGCTCCCTCACTCAGCAGTGAGGCAAGGAGCAATGCAGGATGCAGTGTTGGGATGTGGTGGGGGAATCAGTCCAGAGCCAGAGAGCAGGAAGCCCCAGCACTGATTCCTTCATTGCTGTATTCTGGGTCTCCAGCTGCTTTCTGGCTCTCTCCTGAGCTAGGGAGAGGCAGGAAAATCAGCCCAAAGCCAGAGAGCAGCCTGAGACTCAGCACACAGCCAGAGAGCAGCAAGGGAATCAGTGCTGAGTCTCCAACTGTTCTCTGGCTCCAGGCTGATTCTCCCACTGCTCTCTGGTTCAGCAGGGAGTCAGAGAGCAGTGAGGGGAATCAGCCGTGAACCAGACAGCAGCACAGGATCCAGCACTGCATTGCTAAAATGCTTCATTTTCTTTATGATAAATGAGGAAAAAACTTCATCTTGGAATTAAGTAAATACAGTATTAAGGGTGGATTAATCTAGGCTAGTTATTTTCAACCTGTGGTCCTTGGAGTCATGGGAGGTCCATAAAGTATGTCTAAGGGATCCATGAAAGTTGACTATGATCAATAAAAAGGATGTGAATACCCAAACTTACAGTTCAAAGAGGCCTGTATCTCCATTCAATTTTTTTTTAGGGGTTCACAAATGAAAAAAGTTTGAAAACCACTGATTTAGGCTATGGGTAGCACAACCTTTAATTATTTTATAGGGGAAGGTTAAAAACAAAAATAATTCTGGCAGGCAGATAATTCTCATACTAGCCAGTGGCCTGTGGGTAGGGCAATCTCCTGGAAAAAAGGAGATGTGTGGTTGCTTATTGAACAAAAAATGATCAGTACCACACTCTTCTCTAGCCGTGTTTTGTGTTGCACTGCTTGTATGGTCCCAACTTCAGACAGTTATTAGGATTGTTAACTTCACCTAAGGAACCAGAGACTTAGCAAAGATTAGGCACTTCCCAGGCTGATTTCGACTGCAATAGGCAGGAGCGAATTACTTGTGTGGCCAGTCTGGATTGCATCTGAGACATGCAGAAGCATGTTTACTATGGGAGATTTTAAGGCCAAAATGGAAGCAGATAATGAATCTAGGCACCTAATCAGTTTTGCAATCACTATCAGGGGTCAATTTGAGCTTAAGACTTAGCTAAACTCTACCCAAGTCCTGTTTAGGTACTTCAGAAATTGTTAGGCTCTAACCCTAAGTGACTTTCCTTCACAGATTTCAGATTCACTATCTTTTCATTACAGCCTTTTTGTTTTTTTTATTAGGTCTGCTCAGATATTGATGAGTGTAATAATGGTGGAAATGAAGTGTGTGTTCCCAATTCCCACTGTATAAACACCTTGGTAAGCTACCTTCTATTTGCCATTTTCAAACATTGATCATTTAACAGTTACATCATACTAAGACTTGGATCTAGAGTTCTGATGTAAGAGGTATCTATCATATCTGTTTAGACTGAATAAATAAACGAAAGGATCCCATTCTGTGCCTCTTAAGAATTTAACTGGTCAATATTCAGCTTGTAGTCAACTTGTCTACATAAACTGTATTGCTACCCCTTCACTCCAGCAATGGCAACAGGTCCCCTTTTCATTCCCTGTAGGTGAAGGAGTTCTAGGAACTGTGTGCATTTGAAAGAGAGGCATCCCCTGAGAAAATATATCTTCACTTCCCCCACCCAGGAGTAGCTACAGAAAGCTGTACTCTTCTGGTAGGAGCAACAGATCCACTTCTCAAAGATCTTTATAGTGCCAATCACCTTAATATGGTGGCACACTCAGAGGGAGTCATCCTCTAAATGCCATGCTTGGGACCATGGATGACTGGTGCCACCAGTGGCCAGTCAGCGACCAGGGTCGGCATGATCAGGGATTGCTTCTCCTGACGCCCCCATTCCCTGGCTGGTGCTTTCAAGGGGGGGGCACCAGTACTCTTGCCTGCTCCCCCTACTCGTCACCACTACTTAGGATAACTTCCACTTTTCCCTGAATCACCAAGGCATTTTTCTCTATGTACCATAAATCGGAGACCCAAGGGGACCTTCCTCTCCAATTGCCACTTCTATTAAGTCACACCCTGATCTTCAGCAGATATTGAGGGCTTCCTTGAACCCATACAGAGGGTGGCAAATTCCCTTAGAATTTCCTTAGAGGAGAAACAGTAACACTCCCTGCCTGACATGGTGCACCCACTTATGAGGCAGTCATAGACCCAGCCAGGATGATATGGCCATCCCACTGCCAAGGGGCAGACAAAAATACAGAGTCCACAGCAAATGAAAATGCTAGGTTGAATAGAAACAAAGAAAATAGAAAGTTGGAATAATTTGGTAAGAGGTTCCCTCTCCTCCATTAGTTTCCATTTCAGGATTGCCAGCTACCAGGCTTTCCAAAACCATTCTGATTTCCAAGTTTATTGGAGGAAGGCAGACCTGAAGGAGTCCTTTCCCCTTCATAAGAGAGGATTTAATATCTGATCATGGAGGGACACCTAGTGGCAAAGATGATCTTTCAAGTGTCCCTGTACATAGCCAGGTTCATAACTTCAGTGATTGTGATATTTAGATCTTCCTGGTTAAAGGGTTCCAGTTTCCCAGGGGTTGGAGCTTCCTTCCAGCTCAAATGGTGGAAGACTGGCCATTTGTGAGTCTGGAACTGAGACTCTGCACACCTGAAAAGAGGCTACAGCTGGACTTTATTGGGGGGTGTTATCCCTCCCTTAGAAGTGCTAGTTCAAGCACCCTAAACTTCGACCCCAAGCAGAGTTGTTGTGCTATGGAGATGCCAACTCTGTGCTGCTTTCCCTTCCTTCTGAAACTGCATGGCTTGCTTTTAGCCAGCATGGATCATCTGAGACCAGTGGATCCTGGATGTGGCAGTGTAGTTATTCCATCTAGTTCAAATCACTGCTCTCTCACAACATCCCTTCCCCATCCCTTTTAGGGGCCTTCTCTTGAGAGTCTGCTGTGGGAAGAGGTCCATTCCCTTGGAAGTAGGAGCCATAAAACAAATTCCCCACAGCTAAGGGGGAAGGATTCTATAGCAGTTACTTCCCATTTCTGAAGAGGAAGAGTTTAGAGACCATACTAAATTTTCTTAGGTCCAGGATTGTTCATTCATTAGCTTATGGTCAAGATAGTTACCCTGGCAGCCATTATTCCCTCCCTATATCAGGTGGGGACTGGTTCATATCTCTTGACTTTCAGTATAGGTCCTTCCTTGTTGCCATAAAGCACTTGCACAGAACGTGTCTCTGATTCATGGTAGGCTGGGACAACCGCCTATGCACAGCCCGAAGAGGTTTCACCAAAGTACTGGTAGTAGCAGTGTGCTTACAGAGTTAAGGGATTCCAGTTTAACCCTACTTCAGTGACCGGTTACTAAGAAACACTTAGGGCTGTTGGGTCTCAAAACCTCTAGAGAATGATGACCTGTTTCTATCCTTGGGATTCCTTGTCAACTACCAAAAGTCTAACCTAGCTCCTGCTCAGATAGTAAAGTTCAACAGTGTTTACCTGGGCTTAGTGTTAGGAAGGGCTTACCTCCCAAAGGACAGTTTTCAGGCACTTATAGATTTTATCTTGTTAGTCAAAAAGTGCCTATATATGAGGGTAAGAATTTTCTTGTTGCTGCTCTGGCACATGGCCTTCTGCGCACTTGTGATGCTGCATATCAGGTTTCACCTTGGGTACTTCAGATCGGGCTTTGTGAATCTGATTTAAGAACAAAATGAGACTACATATCAACATGCTGGAGCTCAGAACAGTGCAGGAGTCTGCCTGGTCATCTTCCCTTATACTTGAGGGTGTCATGACTATTTCAACTGATAACACTCAATGTTTTACATGGGCAGGGTGGTGCCTGATCTCCCTGCTTATGCAATTGCATTATGGCATGGGCACATAAGTTAAAAAAAATAATCTGTCTGTGGAGCACCTGGCTAAGCTTCAGAATGCTACAGCAGATCTAAGCAGAGTCATCTCCTTATCTCATATGGGGAGATCAGGAACTTGGTATGTAAGGACATATTTGTGAAATGGAAACTCCAGTCACAGACAACTGAGATGAGCGGCAAATACTCTACTTTATTTCTCAGTGGAGCTCAGCCAGGTTCTCTTTCAGGTGCATACATAATAAAATGATTGAGGAGTCTGCTGTATGCATTCCCTCTCTCCTTTCTTTATCCCATAAGTCTTCCACAAGGTGAGAAAGGCCTGGGCTCTAATGACACCAACAGCCTTCCCATGGCTGAGGCAGTTTTGGATCTTCTGTTCCTGATGATGGAAGATCTTACGATGCTCCCTTTAGTCCAAGACCTACTATCATGGAGAGGAAGGAGGATTTTCCACTTGGATCTCCTCTCCGTTTTCCAGCCTGGATGGTGGATGGCACACTCAGATATAGCAGGATTTGGTCCAGAGATGTGCTTGTCCACAGAAAGGATTCTTCCAGGCCTACCTCCTTTGCAGAATAGGCTAGGTCTTTGTTCTGGTGCTGGGCAAAAAACACTGCCCTGGCCAAGTCTATCATGCCTGAGGGGCTTGATTAGATGCTAGATCTAAAACACAAGGACCCTTTCTTCCTCTCAGTTAAGGTCCACCTGGCAGTTATGTCAGCCTTCCATCCTCCAGTCAGTGATCTGCAAGGCCTTTCTCACCAACATCCTTCACGTTTCTTAAAGATTTGTCCTCTGTGGGAGCTGAACCTAGTACTGACATTTGCTCATGAGATTATCCGTTGAACTTTTTAATATGCTCCCTCCTGTTGGACCTGGTGCTAGGCACGGGTGACAACCTGGTGAGGGGGCTGCGGGTGTTTGACCACCTGGGCGACAGTGATCATTCCCTGCTGGAATTCACCATCCAGCGCAAGGTGGCAAAGGCCTGCAACAAGGCAGCAGCCCTAGATTTCAGGAGGGTGGACTTCAATGAGCTAAAGAGAATAGTTGGGGAAGCACTGAGGTCCTGGAGGGGAGGGGAGCCAGGTGTCCAAGGAGAGTGGTCATTCCTTAAGGAGACGATCCTCCAAGCCCAAAGGGAGGTATTCCCAATGTGGATCAAAGGGGGAAGTAGGGCGCAAAAGCCCCCATGGCTCACCAAAAGCATCCAGGAACATCTCCTAACTAAAAGGGAGGCATACACCCAATGGAAGGGAGGGGCATCACCAGGGAGGACTAT